AAACTGAGCTGGGAGGAGGCAGGAGGACTTCCGCCTATCCTGCCCTTCCTCACCTAAGGGGGCAGAGAACAGAGAGGGAAGCCTAGAAGGGAAGACGCGGTGGAAACCGACACCCCTGGGCCAGAAGGTAAGCCCAGGCTGTGGATACTGCCTCGGTCCCAAGAGCTCCCTTCTCCTGGGAGGCAGGGAAGAAAGAAACTGGAGGCAGAGACCAACCCCCTCGAAGAGAGTCCCACAGAGAGCCACAGAGAGTCGAAAAGAAGGAACAGGCCCTCAGAGTCAGAGACAGAGAACAGCCCCTTGTGAAGGAAAACACAGAATCAATTCCCAGGCTCCAGATAAAGAACCTACTGCCCCCAGCAACCCACCAGCAACCACCAAGAGAAAATGAAAGAAACCCCAGAAAGAGGGGGAAAAAATCGGAATTCGAGACAGACCAAGCAGTAGATCCCTCCCCCAGATGCACACGAAGAACAAACGAGCCACACAGGGCCCGGGCCCAGACAGACATGCACAGGCCACCCACAGGACGGCCAACACCAACCCCCCGACTCCCAGGCTGGCCCAGGAGGATCCCTGAGCCCTAGTACCTTCGTCGCCGCCTGTCCCGGGAGGCGCTCCGCTGGTCCCGGTTGCGCCGGTCACGGCTCCGGCTCCGGCGTTTGCGGTCCCGGCTTCGAGAGCGGCTGTGGCTGCGCTTCCTATGCCGGTTCTCCTTGTCCCGCTCTGGGCAAGGGTGAGAGGAGGGGCAAGGGATGAGCGGAGTAAGGCTGCGGGCCCAGCCCACCCTGCGCGCTGGTGGCTATGTCCCCAGCCCCAGGGAGGCCACCCCCAAAGGGAAGGGATCCAATGGAGGAAGGGAATTAACAGGCCTCCTGGGTCCACAAGCGAGTCCAGGGAGCACGAGGGGACCAGGGGGACGGGGCCTGGAAATGCCCCCGGGGTGTGAGATACCTGAGGATGCTCAGGAGGAGCTGGGAGCCAGAGAAGACAGAGGAGGCTGGCTCCTGGTCCCCTCGAGGGCTGAGGGGCCTGACCCCAGGGTCGTCCCTGAGAGGGGCAGGGCTAGAGGCTGGGGAATCAAGAGACCCAATGATGTTTTCCTGAAGGGACCCAGCGACCCCTCAGGAAAGACCTCTGCAACCAGCTGGCACCCACAGCCCCACCATCACGCCTGGGGGTCAGGTGCCAGGCAGGATCTGATATCCCCAGGAAGCAGGGAAACTCAACCCATCCCTTCCCAAGCCAGTGAATAATGCAGAAGCAAGCACCCTTCCCCAGGGGAAGGGAAGGGCCTCAGAGAATCCGCAGAATGAAGGGGAAAGAGGCCCTCCTCTCCTTCAGCAGGACAGGGGAGGAGCTTGCCCCAACCAGACTTGAATCCCAAACCACTTGATTCTCCCGGCCTCACTCCCTTCAAAGCCAAGTACTGGAGAGGCTGTACTGTAGGGTAGGAGCATGCACCTCTGCCAGCCTCCAGCCGGCTCCCTCAACCCTATATTTGCCTGACGTAGCCACTAGAAACAGAGCCTCGCTGGTGAAACTACAGAGACCTCTGCTCTCACCAGACCCTTCAACCCCTGAAGAAGGACGACTGGCCCTTTAAGATGGAGAATAAAGCATGAGCATTGGGGGTGTTCGTGAGCACCGCCACACCATTTCCTTAATTCAAAGACACCCAGATTTCTCAACTAGCCACGAAGCACACACACAAAAAAGATGCACACGTTAAGGTGCTCATGTATGTTAACACGCATCTCCTGGAGTGATCATCCCTGGGGACAAGAGGAGGAAAAGGCACTGAGGGAGGATGTTAAACTTTAGCCTCACCCACAGTGTTTTGTCTCATGTTTTTGTGATGCAATTTGAATGTTTGGAAAAGCATCACAATTCCAAAACCACCAACACTCAGAAAAATATGCACCCAGAAGGCAAAAAAACAGAAACAAATACTGAGATGCTTCTGTACTAAACAGTTTTGTTTGTTCTTAATCCTCACTACTGCTTCGGAAAAACACTGCGGGGGGCTGACCTAATGGGCAGAAAACTAAGGTTCAGAGAGATCACAGTTGCCCAAGGCCAGACAGCTAGGAAATGGTGATACCAGAACGTAAACACTCAAACATCAGTGAGTTAAGCACCAGGTCATATTCTTGAATGTGGATCCGGCAGAACACTCAAGTCTGGCTAGAACCACTAATGACAATATAATTGTCCCCTCGAAGGCCAAAAACCCCAAAATCAAAAACTGAAATTGGGAGGAACAATCGGCAGGACAGGCCAGCAGTGCAGAGCAGCAGGGTAAGCACGCAGGCACGGCACTGGGCACAACTCCACGCCTGTAAGATGGACAGGCTGTGAGCCCGAAGAGTCCTTCCTGCTGCTAAAGCTCTGAAACAGGCAAGCAGGCAGAGAGGAAGCCACGCAGAGAAAGCAATGACGCCCGTTGGGTGCCTGGGATCCAGACAAGGAAATTCCCTATCGACACAGGTAGCAGAGGAAGGGACTGAAGCAGAAGCCGACAGGTACAGAGGCTGATCTGTCCTCCACAAAGACCCACAGGCAGAGTGACACGTGGGCAGAGCTTCCCCTATGACAAGAACCCTCTCCCACACACTGATGCTGGACAGGTAAAAACCAAGAGAGCTTCATTTGCTCAAAACACTGTATTGTGGTCATCTTATGGGAGCAGCTCCGGCAACCCAGGAGCCGTGCCAGGTCTCAGGGAGGGTCCTATCAGCACCAAGGGGGAAACCCCGGCAGAACCAGTGAAGCACCATCTGAGCGCCTCAAAGAACGGCCCGATCAGCTCCACTTGGTGGCCCAGCAGAGTGGAACCTGGCCTTGCAGCCAGCCAGAGCTCAGAATCAGTACCTGCTTTTCTGCCTACCCACAAAAACCATGCAAAAACAACTGAACCTTTAAGACTTGGTTTTTCTCTGTAAACGAGGGTCACATCTACTCCACTCAGGTGTTATGTGACAGAATGACATTTGGAAAGCACCTTTTCCTGGCCTTTCCCAACTGTGACACAATCTCTGTGAGTGGAAGACCCTCCTCTTTAAGCATGGAATTTTACAATTGCAAATATCGCTTACTGCACACCTAGTGTACACCAAGCCACACGCCACATGCCACACACTTTACGTTACCCCATTTAATCTCAGCTCTGCCTCTGACTAGCTGAGCCCTGAGAAAGTTTTTAACTTTTCTGAGCCCTGTTTCCTCCCCAGTAGAGGTGGAAATCATTTTGACCTCACAGGGCTGTTACAAGGATCCCCTAAATAAAATCACGCTAAGAGTTTAGCGAAAAGCCTGGCACACATAAGCGCTCAGAGTTTAACTACACCTATCGTTACTATAATCCTTACTAATCTTCTCAAAACCGAGTGAGAAGAAAATAATCATCAGTCTACAAATAGCAAAAAAAAAAGAGAAATAAACGTATTAAAAGTAGTTACTAACCAACAAAGCAAGTATCTAAACCCCTGATGTGCTCAACTCCAAAGCCTATGCTCTTGAACAGTCCATCACCTAAGACAGAGTCAGACCCTCAGTAAACGTTATTTCTTCCCCAGGGCACTGTTTCCTAATACAGCCCCTGGGTTCAAAGGAAAATTCCTTAGCCCTCATTTCGTCCTCCGAACGACCTAGGATCATGGGCAGCTGAAGCCTCAAAAGAAATGAAACAAGTCCCCAACCTTCCCTAGTCCTGTGTTTCTTCACTCTCAAACTGAAACATGGAACAACTCTCCCACTTCTAATATTCTCGGAATCCCTAAGATCAGCAGGGCCCCACGCTTTTTGTTCTCACCCATCACAATTCTCGATACCCTGAAAGGAACCTGCCTCCCACCTTCCCCGTTAAGTGAAGAGTTTAGCGCAGTGGGCCAGATCCCTCTTCCTCCCTCAGAACCTGTTTCCTTATCTCTACATCGAGATCTGAGGCTGAGTATTATTAGGTGCCCCGAGTTTCGGATCGTACATGATTTGAGGTTTGTCTCAAACACTCCATATCGCGATTCTCGGGACCGCCAAAAGTTCCGCCTATGCAGGATGTGTGCGTGCCGACACTCAAAGAATGCAGATGCTTCAGGGAACATGCGGCCAACACGTTAACATGAGGCGCCCCACTACCAACAGACGGGGCAGAAACCACCTGGCAGGAAAGGTCGCAGCAAATCAGCAAAAACGAAAAGAGGTATGAGACGGGCTCGTGGCCTCCAAGAGTCCCCCGAAACAGCTCTGTCCTCATCCACGTGAAGGAGGGAAAGGGGGGCCCCCCCCCCGAGTCCTCACAACCGCCATTTTGGAAACAAAGGGGGCGTGGAGACGCGGCCGTGGGCCCGACCGGAAGCGGAAGTGCCAAGGCAGCGGGAGAAAAAGAACGGATTCGGGGGCTTACCTTATTTTCTTTTTCGGGGATTCCAAAAGGTTTTTAAAAACCAAAGGTTCCGTTGGGGTTCCTTGGGGCCTTGGGGCGGGTTCCCCGGGGCCCCTTCGGGCGGGCCCCGTTGGGGCCGGGGGCCGGCGGCCGTGCGCATGCGTCATGAGCCCGCGCCCCGCCGCCCCCTTCCCCTCGCCTAGCGCGCGGCCGAACGCTGGGGATGTCACGTGAACGAGGCGCGCGCCACGGAACCGGGGTTGGGGGGGGGGTCGCACGGCCGTGAGAGGTGGGGGGAAGCGAGGGAGAAAATGGCGGGGGGGCAAAGAGCGACGCGAGGAGCCGCCCACACCTCCGCCCCGCGACCCCGGCGCCCTCACCTTGTTTATTCTCGTTGAGCTGCCGCTCGAACTCGTCGAAGTCCGACATGCTGAGGCGGCCGCGTAGGGCCCTGTGCAGCTCTCGCCTCGCCTTGCCGCCCGCTCCGGCCGCTTCGGCTACTTCCGCCGCTGGCTTCGGCTACTTCCGGCCGCCGCCGGCGCTTCGCCACCTCCTACCTAATCAAGCCTCCGGCAGCCCTCCCCGCCCGCCCGGGCTCCGCCCCCTCACCCGCCCGCCCGCCCGCGAGCTTGCCCCTCCCCCCGAGCCTGGCTCCGAAGCGCGTCGGCTATTTCCGGACACTGGACGAAGGAGACGCAGATGGCAGCTGCGACTGCTTCCGAAAACACCCGAAGGTAGGGTTTCGCCGACTTCCCAGGTTTCCGTAACTTTTCCAAAATTATCTCCTCAACGTTCGGAGGTTTCCGTGTGTCCTCGTGTTCCACTGCGCCCAGCCCCCTCTGCGAGTTCGGGTTCTTCCGACAATTCAATCCGTCCCAGTCTTTGGCTGCTTCCACGGATTTCCTCCGATCTTCTCCGCCAGCCCTGTCCAAGCAATCGGCCACTTCCGACAATCCTAACCGTCCCGGCCTTCGGCTCTTTCCGGAGATTTCCGGAGCTCGCCCTCGGGCCCCTCCTGGGATTAAGCTCGAGTCCAAGTTTCGGCTCTTTCCGGAGATGCCACTTGCTCACTCCGCAGATCAGAGAACTTCGGCTCCTTCCGCCACCGCTTCGTGAAGGCCTCACTCTCCGGGGACAGCTTCGGCTTTTTTCGTGGGTGCTTCGGCTCCTTCCGGCTTCGGGAACGGAAAAGGGAGGGAGGACGGAGGCGAGGTGGGTCAGGCAGGGGAAGGGATACAGAGAAGGAGACGAGGTCCCGGTTCTCAGCACCTGGCTCTCCGGGTGGGGAAAGTGAAAGAAAAAAAGGACCGGCCTCGCGGAGGGCCTGAGAAGGTTGCGCGAGACAAAAGCAGCAAGAGGGGTGAACGGTGCGCGCGACCGCTGCGGAGGTTGCCAGCGCGGCTTTTTGCGCCTGCGCAGGGTGGAAGCGGCGGGTGAGGGGAAACAGGCTTCTGCGCCTGCGTAAGTGTCTCTGTGGCGCGCTCTCCCACTGCTCCGGTGAAGGGGGTTGCGGGGACCAGGTTTCAGTCCCCGTTGCGCGTGCGCGAGATTTTCCCTTCCTAGCGTGAAAGTGCTTAATCCCCAACGGTTAAATCCGGCCACCCTCTTGGTTGTCTTGGCAACCGCATCAACGCGCTCCGGCCCCTCCCGTCGCGCAGGCGCAACAGATGGATGATCGCGCATTCCTTCCGGGAGACAGATGATCTGGCGTTACTGCCCCCTGGCGGCCGGACGGAAGAATCCCCCAGACTTGGCCTGGCCGCTGGGTGGCCTCCCCTGCTCGAGGTCATCGAGTCCCGCCTCTCGCGCCACTCACTGGTCCGGGTAGCCCAGCGGGTAGCGTTTACGCTTCTTTTTACCCTTTTTTTTTTTTTTTTTTTTTTTGCGACGGAGACTCTATCGCCCAGGCTAGAGTGCAGTGGCCAGATCTCGGCTCACTGGAACCTCCGCCTGCTGGGTTCAAGCGATTTTCCTGCCTCAGCCTCCCGAGTAGCTGGGACACCTGGCTAATTTTTTGTATTTTTAGTAGAGATAGGGTTTCACTGTGTTAGCCAGGACGGTCTCGATCTCCTGAACTCGTGATCCGCCTGCCTCGGCCTCCCAAAGCGCTGGGATTACAGGCGTGAGCCACCGCACCCGGCTGTGTCCGCGCTTCTTTTCCAGAGCTCTGCCTCCGTTTTCAGGGGCACAGCTGTTTCTCCGTCTCTGCCTCCGGGGGGCTAATTACACCCTGTCCTACCCGGCCTCCCGCCTGACCGCCCACCCCCTTGGAAGCCCCCGCAACCCCATCACCGTCGTCGGGGCGACGGCCTCCCCCTCCCAGGCACGTCCCCCTCATCTAGACAGAGGGAGCTGGCTGGCGGAGGCCCAGTTTATTCCAAATTTTCACGTCGTTTTTTAATTTAAATTCTCTGAATAATTCTCTGTCTCGCGCGGAGTTGGGGAGGTCTGTCCGGGAATCAGGTGGGCAGCTCCTCCGCGGGGCTGGGGCGGAGACGGGGTCTATACAGTCCCCCACCCGAGAGGGGGGCGGCACCCTCCTGCCTGGTTGATTTCCAGGAGGAAGGGGTCCGGCGAGGACAGGGCTGGGCGGCCCAAGCGGAAGGGGATGCCGGCGTTCGGGAAGGGGCTGCGGCCTGCCCTTGGGGGCCAGGCTAAGGGAGCCCCCAACCCAGGGAGCGAGGAGGAGGGGCAGGGGGGCGGCAGGGAGAGGCGCAGGTCATCCACCGGGGGCCTGGGGAGGGCCGGGGTCGGCGGGGGAGGAAGGCCCGGGCGGAGGCGCGGAGGCGTGGTGCGATCACCGCTTGAAGCGGTAGGTGATGGGCAGCAGCAGCTTGCTCTTCTTGAGCGCCTGCACCTTCTTGAGCGTCTCGTCGTCCAGGGCCAGAAAGCAGCGACGGGAGTACTCGAGCAGGCGCTCCTTGGAGGGGTCGAACTCGCCCACCTCGGCCAGCTTCTCGGGGGCCACAATGAGCAGCTCGGCGATGGGCGTGGTCAGCGCCACGGTGTTCCTGTCCACGCGGTGGTGCTCGAAGGCCCGCGACATGCTCTTGAGCTTCTGGAAGGTGCCCAGGATCTTCTTGTACCGGCAGAGGACCCCGTCGGCGTCCTTCACTGCGGGGCGGAGGCGGGGACACGGAAGTGAGGAGCAGGGCCCAAGACCGAGGCGGCGGACACGGGAAGGGAAACGGCCATGGGAAGGAAGGATCCCGGCGAGTAGAGGCACGGGCGGTGCAGGAGGATACGGAGAACAGGGAAGGGAGGGGCGGAGAGGAGGGGAAGAAGCGCAGCCAGTACTTGGACCAGTGGGAAATGGGAAGAGGCAGGCCCAGGAAGGAGGGTGAGGAGAGAACATGAGCCGAGAGGCCGGGGCTCAACCAACGCGGTCCCAGCAACAACACCGCCCCCCGCCCGCCTCTCCACCACGCCCAACCATCACCCTCACCTCCCTGCCTCAGGTGAATTCACTTATTCAAGCCTCACCCGCCCCGAGGTAGGTCCTACTGCGCACCTCCTTCTTACCGATGAAGGTTAAGGAGGTGCCCAAGGTGGCCCTGCCCTCGAGGGTTGACCAAAACTTAAAGTAGACCCAGGACAGGCCAGGCGCTATGGCTCACGCCTTGTAATCCCACGATTACAAGGGAGGAGGGAGAGAAAGAACCCGGTGGGTCTTTCTCCAGCAAAGCTGGAGGGGCTTGGAGAGAAAGGAGGGCCTCTGGGAAGGACACACAGCAATTCAGCAGCCCAGGCCCCTCAGCGCCCGCGCCATGCACCTCACCCACCTCGCTGCCTCTCCCGGGCCTTGGGCTTCCCAAAGCGCCTCCGACTAGCACCTCCCCTCTGCTTCTGCCGCCTCCTCTCGCTGGCGCTGCCTTCTTCGGAGGCTCCACTGAGGGAGGAGGCTGCTGACTCAGGGTCCGAGGCCTCGCCCCCAGCCCCACCCCGGCTGTCCCCCTCCATCCGCCTGGGCCCAGGCTTCATCCGGCAGTGGTCCTCTGGGGAGAGAGACACACACGTGAACTATGGGACCAGACATCCCATCACAGGTCCTGGGACTGAGAGAGGCTGCAGTCCCCAGTACTGGATCCCCCAACCTGGGCTGGTCCCCTAAAGAAACGGACAGGAAGGACAGGAGAGATGCTGGTGGCTGAGTAGAGCCTGCTGGGGTCTGTGGGAGGTAGTAATGGGTGCAGCATTTTCTCAGAGGCTTGGGTTGGCAAGAGGTCTTGGGGAGGCAGCCGACCAGGGACCTCAGGACCCCTGTGAGTATATGCGGTTCCCACAGGGGAGGGAGAGATTCTGGGGACTGGGTGGGACCTCCGGAGAGTGGCCTCTGTAAACCCAGGAGGCAGGCAAGGCCTTGGATGGAGTCGGGGGGTCAGACCCTGAGAGAAATCAGGGGTCCTGGGTCCAGCAGGATGGGTTCCACCTCCATCTAGACAGAGGGAGCTGGCTGGCGGAGGCCCAGACACAGGGTCCTCTAGAAGGCGGGTTAGGAGAGGGGTCTGGTGCCAGGGTCCCCACTGGGAAAGTGCCGAGGCCGCAGGACCAACCATCTGTGCAAAGGAGTCAGTCACCCAGCATGGAACCATCAGTGGGAGGAGACAGTGGCAGGCAAGGGCAGTCAGAGGCGGTTTGTTCCAGAGCAGAGGGAAGGCCAGATCCCCAGATGCTGGGCTCCCATAACAGACACCACGAGACCATAGGCCCCTTGCCCAAGTTTTTGGGGGAAAGGGTTGAATTCACAAAGAGAGATGTGGGAGTTTTTGAGGGGTCTTCTCAGCCAAGGAGCTAGCAAGGCCGAGCTGAGGGTAGGCGGGGTAAAGTGTGGGTTCTCCAGGACATGGGCTGTCTGGCAAAGGGCCTGACCATCTGGGGAAGAGGATGCGGCTGGGGTCCAAAATGTATTAAGCAGGACACAGGGTCCCAGAGAAGATGCTAGCTGTGAACTGGCTGGGGCTGGGGGCTGCTATGGGAGCTCTCCCGGCTGCTTCTGGCCATGAATTATAGCAGAGCAAGGTATGTGGGCGGGGACTGCCCGGGAACCTGGGGCAGGGTTTGAGGGACAGCACCTGCTGGGGTCCCCACCCAAAAAGGCCCACACAGGAAGAGCCTTAATGTCTTTCATGAGGAAGGAGAACTCATTAACCAAGGATGGGACAGGGTGGGTGAGAAGATGGCCCCTGGTGTCACACAGGGGACGGGGGGGACAGGAGGGGGCTGGATGGCTGGACTCTTGGATCTTGGAGAAGACAGGGCCAGGAAGAGGATCAGGGGCCCCCTGAGGAAACCCAAAGGACTAGGGTGGGCCTCTCGGCCAAAGAGATGAAGGAAGGTCCCCCTAGGAGTCAGAAGAGGGGGACTCTCAGGTTCCAGGGTCCTGAAGTCACCATAGGCCGAGGAAGCAGATGGCAGGGCACTGGAGGCTGATGGGATTTGGGGAGCTGAAGGAAAAAGCAGGAGGACAGGCCCCAGTAGACAGTTCATGGGGATGAGGTCCTGGACATCAAGTGAAGAGGAAGCTGGGCCTGGGGGCCCAAAACAGGCAGGGGACTAGCAGAGAGGGCCAACATGGCAGGTCCCACCCAGCCAGGCAAACTGTGGAGCCTCGAGTCTGGGTGAGCGGGTACCCAGTAGCGGGACAAGGAGGCAGGTGGATCAGAGCACCCCACACATACCTGCCTCCATCCGAGCAGAAGAGATGAATTTGTCCAGCTGGCACCGCAGGAAGTCCCTCTCTTCCTCCAGGTCCTCGATGCGCTTCTGCAGCCAGGAGTTCCTCTCCAGAGCCATGTGCAGCTGGGCCTTGACGCTGTTCATCAAAGCCAGGGCGGGGGACGCAGCCTCCGGAGGCTCTAGGGACACAGCGAGGGTGGGGGGACCAGGTCACACCCTGGGACTCGGCCTGGCTTCCCAGCTGACTCCAGTCCCTCCACGCCCCCTCGGCTCACCCTCGAAGTTTCCCCGAGAGGGGCTCAGACTGTAAAAGATCTGTGAGTCTAGGTGGGGCGCCTCGTCGAAGGGGATGGAGATCTCGAAGGTCTCATCGTCCTTCACTGGAGAGGAGAGGCCCCGGGTCACCCCAGAGAAGTCCCGGGCCCCTCAGACCACCCCCCAACCACGGCAGCCTGGAGCCGACCGCACTGGGACCCAGGGTAGGGAAGGGGACCCAGCTTCCTCACTTGTCCGCCTCCGGCTGCTCCGGTCATTCATGGCGTGGCTTCCTGCGGACCCCAGCAGCCGAGGGCCTCAGGGGCACTGGACAGAAACAGCAGCCACAAATGGAGGGACGCGGATGGACTCGAGGGTCCATCCTAGGGGAGGTGAACTGAGACAGGAAGGACCTTCTGGCCTGGATCCCTGGTCTGAGGGAGGAGGGAGCCCGGACCCCAGGACTGAGGCAAAACACGCCTGAGCTTCAAACTCCTGGGTTCCCAGAGTCAGGGGCAGGGGGCCCAGCCACCGAGGTCCTAGGGGAGAAGTGAGCTGGGGATGTGGGCTCCTGGGTATCGAAGGAAAAGGAAGCTGAAGCCCTAAATTGCTGGGTGCCCCAAGGGGTCGCCTGACAGGGACACCTGGCCTGAAGGGGAAGGACTCTCATCGCGGGACACCGCCAGGCCTAAGGAAGAGGCAGGTGCAGAGGGAAACTGCCCCAACTTCCCAGGGTAGGAGGAGGTCCAGCCCGTGCGCGCTGCCTCCCCTACCTCCGGGGCCCCACACCCCTCCCCCGCACTCGCGTGGGCGTGCGGACCCTCCCCCGGTGGTGGGGGCTGGGCGCGTGCGCAGTACGGGGAAAGGTCACGCGTGGGGATGCGCCGCCCCCGCCCTTTGTCCCGGGGGTGGGAGGGGGAGCAGTCGTGGAAAGATCCCAGCGGGGGAATGCATCAGGGCGGGGGTGCAAATACGGTCACCATCCCCCGCCCGCGGGTGCCCGGGGTCCAAGGGGCCGAGGCCCCCCGCGCTCACCCACCCGCGCGCGGAATCCGACTCGGGGACCGACGGCGGCGGCGGCGCCCATGCCCGGCGCCGGGGAGCGTCTGCAAAGTGTCACGGGGAGCCGAGGGAAGCGCCCACCCACCCGCGAACAGGCGGGGCGGCAGGGGAGCGAGTCGTGGAACTGAGCGACGGAACGGGTACGGACGCGGGGATTCGCCCAGTCGGGCCAGGCTAGCGCCCCTCGTTGGAGAGTCCCCTGGTCCAGGTGAGGCCCGCCGTTTGCGGCAGAAGCAGAGGGTCTGCACTTGCGCGATAGCCCCTTAGAGCACTCCCCCGCCCTCCCGGAAGCTCAGGCAGGGAACGTCACGAAATTCCCATCCTGGAGAGCTGGCGAGCCTCCGGGGGTCCCCGGGTTGGGTGGCGGTGGGCCCAGTGGGCCCAGGAGAAGGCAGGAGTGTGTGAGACACCGGGAAAGTTGGAGCGAAAGGAGAATCTACTTTTAACGATCTCAGGAACTAGCCAGCGCAGACCTCCCAGAGCTCCCCCACCTCCTACAGCCAGACCCCAAGGTTCTCAGGGATGCGGGGGCCAAAATGGGGGGAGTTACCCCTCTCCAGAAAAACGAGGGGCAGGAACACGCCACCCCCACCCCCATGTTGGTAATTAAGAGCTGGCTTTGGAACAGAGCTAAATTCCAGTCCTGACTGTTCCTGCTCCTCCCCAGCCTGTTAACTCACCTGTAAAATGGGGAAATTACAAGCCCCTCTACATTTCTTGTGAGGACGCAGTGATGGGACACACAGCTCAGCCCAGCACCTGGCCATAGTCAGGGCTTGAGAGAGAAGCGCTGCTGGATGATTTGAGGTCAGATGGTGGGGTACGATCGCAGCCTCTGGGAGGCTCTTTCCTTTCCCACTCTGGGGAGTACGAACGGAAGACTTGTTCTTCCTCCCAAAAAAAAGAGGTCGGAAGAGCAAATGAGGCCTAGCACAGTGCCTGGCACAGACAGGCAAGAAAAATGAATTAATAAGCAGATGTTTATTTAGCTTCAGGCTCAGCTCCACCTGCCTCTCCTGTTCACCAGAAGCATCCATGCTCTGGACTCTGGCCAGCCCTTACGAGAGCAAGGTCTTAACCCGATGGAGGGAGAATCTAAACGTCTGCACCGCCTGCAAAGCTGTACCTATGATCCTCCCCTCCCCACTTCACTTTACAAATAAACTGCAGCCTGGTCCAGAAATTCCAGGGGGAGCCACCTGCCCTAGATTAGTCTTTTCTAAACTATAGGTTCATGGGTGGAGAATTCAATAGAATAGGATGAAATCAGCAGTTTAAAAAAATATGTAGCTGGGCGTGGTGGTGCGCGCCTGTAATCCCAGCTACTCAGGAGGCTGAGGCAGGAGAATCGCTTGAACCGGGGAGGTGGAGGTTGCAGTGAGTGGAGATCGCACCACTGCTCCAGCATGGGCGACACTGCGAAGACTCCATCTCAAATAATAATAGCTAATGAAAAAAAATCTACACATACTAAAGCTAACTATGGTAAAGAAACTTTTGTTTCCAGGCTCAGGGTCCTGAGGGAGGCTGAGGTGTGTGGATCACCTGAGGTCAGGAGTTTGAGACCAGCCTGGCCAACGTGGTGAAACCCATCTCTACTAAAGGTACAAAATTAGCCAGGCATGGTGGCACATGCTTGTAACCCTAATTACTTGGGAAGCTGAAGCAGGAGAATCGCTTGAACCCAGGATGTAAAGGCTGCAGTGAGCCAAGATCTTGCCATTACACTCCAGCCTGGGTGACAAGAGCGAAACTCCATCTTAAAAAAAAAAAAAAAAAAAAAGGGAAGGAAACTTGGTTCACATATATTTTGCATATCTGTGTACTCTATTACCATATAAAATGTGTTTGTGATAGGAGGTTGTGGTTTTAAAATTGTTTCAGCTTAAAAACATTCTTCCCAGATGACCCAGGTCTTCAGGAGCTGAGGAGGGGATAACCCCAAGGCAGGCCAACTTTCCCATTCCCCAGCCAGGCAAGCTGAGGTCTCCCTGTTAGGCAGCCACCAAAGAGGGTCTGAGATGCCGTCTCTAAAAACAAACCTCGAGTGCTCAGGGTGGGAAACGCGTTTATTGTTTGATCGGTCTCAGGCCTGGTTGGGGGGTGGAAGGCAGGACTGGGGTCCCTTCCCCAACAACAGCACAGAAGCCTCAGGAAGATGGCACAGATTCCTGATGACCCACAGCCATCTTTTATGAGGCCAGAGACTTTACACACGACACTCCCCACCCGCATCCAGTCAAGGCTCTGCCACGGAACAGCTGATATCTTTAGGCTAGAGGACTCCATTTTGTGTAGGAGCTCATTCCCATCTCAGCTCCACAACACGGAGGACCTGAAGATTACTCACGGATTCCTCCTTCAGGCAGGGCTCTGCCTTTGAGATGCGGCTGCTCTGTGTCTGTGTCCGGGGGCCTGAACACCAGCCTCGGGCTCTCACCAGGTGTCTGGACAGGAGTCCAGGCTCCCTGCAAAGTCCTGTGGTACCTGGGGCACCCGGCAGCCCAGCTCACGGATGCTTCCAGCGCGTGTGCTTCTGCAGCGTGTTCTGCTCCATAAAGCGGCGAGGGCAGTGTGGACACTGAAATGGGCGTTCCCCAGAGTGCACCCGGCTGTGCTGGGCCAGCTCACCCGCATCCCGGAAGCGGCGAGGGCAGAGCGGGCAGCCGTGGGGCCGCCCACCACCCGCCAGGTGAATGGAATGGTGCCGTGCCAAGTGGCTGGCGCGCTTGAATGCCTTCCCACAGATGTCGCACTCAAAGGGCTTTACCTCCGAGTGGGTGATGCTGTGTCGCTGAAGGTAGGACATGTATTCGAAGACCCTTGAGCACACGGGGCAGCTGTAGCACTTTTTCTGGCCTGAAGCCCCATTGGCCCCTGGCTCCCTCTGTGACTCCTCGTCCACCAGCACTGTGTAGGGGACACCCTGAGTGTCAATGAGCAGGTAGTGGTTGGGCCTTGGAGGAGATGAAGCCTGGGGAGATCCGATGGAGGAGGAAGGTCCAGGTTCTGGGGAGCGGCATGTCCGACGGGGAGGGCCCTCCATGGTCTCAACGGAGGAAAATGCCAGAGGCTGAGGGCAGGGGGATGGCAGCACCAGCATCCGGAGGGCTGGCTGAGGCCTGGTGGATGGGAGATGGGATAAGGTTATATAGAAGAGGGCAGCTCAGCACAGCAGGCTCCATCCTTTTCCCTCCCTTTAAACGGCCCAGGACCTCTACATCCTGCTGCCCTCAGTCCCTCTTCTCCAGTCCCACTCACAGCTGGACTCTGTGACCCCCTAAAAGGTCCCCAGGGTTTCCCTCCTTGGAAAAGCTCTCCTAGCCTCGGTGCTCCACCACACACTGTACTCACAGGATCTCTTGACCTGCTCTGCACAACCTGGACCTCGCTCTAACTTTCCTCTTTATGGCCTCCCAGGTCAGTGGGTGCCCCACCCCGCAGGCCTCCAGGCCTCTCCCTCCCCTCCTTCTAGCCCTTTCCAGGGTCTGCGTGTTGGCCCATCCTACATACTCAAGCCTTTCCTGACCGCCCCCATACAAGCCAAACCTATTCACAGGGGCTCCGACGTGAGGACCCCCAGGTTCTGGCCCTCTGTCCAGCGACATGTCTGAACAACTCCGTGCTCCCACCCGTCCACCCACCTCAGGCTCTCTCTAGTGCTCGCCCGGCCACCACCAGGCTCGTTCTAGGTCCCAGCGCTCTCGGGGTTCCACCCCCGGGGCCACAGCCCTCGCTTCCTGGGCCTTTCTGTGTAAGTTCTCGCCCCCTGCAAGCTCCAGAAGAGCCGCCTCCGGCGCCTGCCCCACTCCCGCCCCGGCCCAGGTACCCTCCACGCGGTCCAGCCCCTCCCGCCGCCCGCTCCCAGCCCCCTCCCTCCTCCCGGCCCCCGTACCCAGTGCAGCAGCCTCTCAGGTCCGGGCGACTCCAAGCGGCCCCGGGCTACCCTCGCAGTTGCAGGCGGCGGCGGGAAGGGGACCTCTGGGTGTGCCCCAGGAGCTGGCGGCGCCGGCCGAAAGAGAGAAGCCGAAGGGAGAGGAAAGGGTCTAGGGAAGGAAGGTGGGGGCGGGGCGCCCGGGCCGTCGCGAAACGGCTCCGGCCAGAAACACACACCGGGAGGAAAGTACCCAAGCGAGGAAGATCCGGTCTCCACCCCCCCAGCACCCAACGCGCACGTACACGCAAGGAAGAGCTTGAAAATGAAGTGCGGAATGTTTATTGAGCAAAGGGTAGGGGACGTGGGCGGAATGGGGGTAGATACAGAAATGAACCAGACCGTGCCCGTGCTCTTTATCATCTCTTCCCCGCAGACAACCACCGGTTCACCGCTCCAGAGAGCAGAAAACCAAGGTTTAGAGAGGTCATGTCACTTGCAAAGGCTCACACAGCACAGCTGGACCGGAACCCAGTTCCGACTGGTTCCCGGGCCCAGGCAGGGGCAACGACTTTGGTCTACATCACACAGCTATAAAGGGGGTAAGGAAGGAATGATGCTCCTCCCTTTGGAAGGTGGGGAAACTGAGGCCCAGGGTAAGGCAGTAACCTCAGCGGAGCCAGGGAGTGTGTGTGGGAGTGAGTGACGCTGTGTGGGTCAGACTTCGTGGCCCTGAGAGGGGCAGGGCAGCTCAAGCCGGGTCTCGAGCTTAGTGGAGGCGCACGTGCTGCGCCAGCTCCGCGGGGTCTTGGAAGCGGCGTGGGCAGAGCGGGCAGGTGTGCGGCGGCCCGGCGCGGGCGCGGTGCGTGGCGCGATGCCGCGACAGGTGGCTGGAGCGCTTGAAGGCCTTGCCGCAGGCGCCGCACGTGAAGGGCTTGAGGTCCGAGTGCGACACGCGGTGGCTCTGCAGCCGCAGAGGGCTGGCAAAGACACGGGCGCACTCCGGGCAGCTGTAGCCCTTGCGAGGGCCGGGCTCTCCTGGGGGCGCCTCGCGCTGGGGCGGGCCCCGGGGCTCCTCCTCCAGCTGCACCGTGTATGTGTAGGGGACCCCATTGGCGTCGATGAGGAGGTGGCGGCCCAGCCGCGGGGGTCGGGGCCCCGCCGCCGAGGAAGGAGTGGAGGAGGGGCCTTCCGCCTTGGGGAAAGGGGGAGCCTTGGGGGGCGGTGGGTCCATGGCCTCCGGAGAGGAGGACCGAGGGTGGGGTGGCCGCGGCGGCAGCAGCAGCATCTGGAGCGGCAGCTGGGAGCGGCGGAGGGGAGATTAGTTAAAATTGCCACTTCCTTTTAGGAAAAGCTTCCTAAAATGGAAAGCGTCCCCACTATCGCTGCTTGTTACCCTTTGTGCGCCACTGACCACCTCCCCAGCAAAATAACAACTCACTCCAGCCCAGCTCTCCCACGTTCCATCAAGCTGCCTCGGAGAGGACATCCAATTGAGCTCTGCAAAACCCCGCCACCACTTGCCACTCCTGGATCCACCTCTCAGCACCCAGGTCAGGTCTGAGGGCGTAATCCCCCGACTTTTCTTCCCTTTTCTTCTCTCAACCCACCCCAGCAATCAATCCCTCAATCTGTTTATCTCTTTACATCTCACACCCCGGTCCTGCTGATCGCCTAGATTTCTCTAATCTGGTTTCTTCTTTCCCTGTTGCCCAGCCCCAGTTCAGGTTGCTTCCCCTCCCTCTGCCGCACCCCCCGCCCAACCAGCCCCCGCATCGGCCTCCAGGCCCTCCTGGGGCTCCATCCCCACTACATGCCACAGGGCCTCCCCATCTTCATATTCCGTGGCCTCCCTCACTTCCTCTCTAGGTACCTCCCCAGAGCCCCACTAACCCAATTCCCCACATTTCACTAGGGCTTTTCCATCCTGTTCCTACACTTAGCACCTCAAAGTCTAGCCACCTCTACTCACTGCGGAACCCATCGTCTCACTACATCTATACACCCCAAAATGACTCAAATGCCTTCCTTCTGTATACCCCGCCCTTCCAACCTGGCTACCTGCTACATTCTCCCCAAGGGCCCCCTTTTCTCCCCCGCCCCTATATATGGCGGTGACATCGTTACTTCTTTCTGTACCCATCAGGGGCCTTCTCCCAAACCCCGTTATGCACACCAGGCCCCGGGACTCCGCTTCCCACAGGACCTCTCCCAAGCCCACTTTCCCCTCCTTTCTGTGCACATCTGGCATCTCTCCTTCTCTTCTTCACCTCTTCCAGGAGCCCCATCCCTCTTCCTGTTACACACAGCATGGCCCCGCCCGTTCTTTTGCTCTACTCCCCTTGTTTCTGGGAACCCCAGCACCCGGGCGTTCTCGCCCCCATCCCGCTACACACCGCCCCCCGCCTCCTGGCCCCGGGGCCCCTCCTATTCCCCTCACTTCCCCAAGGAGCCTTGGTGCCTCGACTGCCCCTCCCGTCCCTCCGCCCGACCCTGCCGCTCCCCACCCCCATCCCCATCCCGGGCGGCTCCAGCGCACTCCCCCAGCCTGCCCGGCCTCGGCGTCGTCCCGGGGCCTGGCTCCTCCCTCCATCCCGGCCCCCGTACCCCGTGCGACGGCCTCTCGGGTCCGGAGGAGCGGGCCGAGGTCCCGGGCGGCCCCGGGCTTCCCCTGGCGAGCGCCGGCGGCGGAACCGAGACTTCCGGGCAGCTCCGGGCCGGCGGCGCCGGGGACGCGGGGACTGGGGGCGCGGGTGCGGGGGTGCGAGGGGTTGGCTGCGTCCCTGGGAAAAGGCGCCGGCCGGAAGCGCGCGAGCCCCGTGCGGAGGTTCCGCCGCCTGGAGCCGGCGCTCCCACCCCTCGGCTCTGCGGAGCGCCCTGCGGGGAGGGGACCGGAGGCGCGGGGCTCGCTGAAGACGCCCGCCCCCGACGGCCCCGCTCCCCTCCCACCTCCGGACTGGAATAATTCCGCCGCTTGACAAGAGATCGGCCAATAAACCGAGACTAAGCAAAGTTACGTCTTTGCCCGAAGGCCCACAAGGGTTTGTCCTCTTTCCACTGGGCCGTCGCTGTCTGCTCGGCCGTGGCCACCCACCGAGGTAGAGGGCGGGAGAAGGGATGTTCCTGCCGGCTGGGCAAATGTGGAGACCGAGGTCCAGAGGCCAGCCATTGGCTCCGATGTGGCCGGGCCGTGATTCTCCACCCAGCAAATGGGGAGACCGAGGCCCGGAGAAGGCCAGATGCTGCCAGATAGTTGGGGAAGGTGTTTGCTTCCCACAGGGCACATGCGGGCACCGAGGCCCACAGAGGGCCAGACGGCTACGTGCGCAGGTGGGGAGGTGTGGTATTTCCAGAAGGCACATGGGGACACCGAGACGCAGCGAAGGCCAGGCCTTGCCAGATGCGGAGGTGGGAAAGGCTGGCACTGCCCACGGGGCCCACTGGAAGCCTGATGCGGGCTCGCGGGCTGCGCCAGGTCCTGGGGCACTTGAGGCCCGGGCGCTGGCTGCGCATGCGAAGGACTCGGGCGTCGAAAGCAACGCGCGGTGGCGGTACAGCTGCACTGGAGAGAGCTGCACACGCGGCCGCTGCAGCTCCTCCTCCAGCCACGTGGCGCCGCGGCCTCGCAGGAGGGCGGCAGCAGCAGCATCTGCAGGTGCAGCTGGGAGTGGGGGACAGAAGAGGAGTAACAGTTGCAGCCAGCCCCAGGACCCTGGGGGTGCCACCGCTATGTCCTAGAGCACTGTCCATCAGAACTTTCTGCAGTGGTACCAAGTTCTATGAGGGTCGCTAGCCACGTGGGACTCTTACACTCTTGAAATGTGGCTGGTGTATCAGAGGACCTGAATTTTAAATTGTATTAAATTTCCAATAATCAGCACGGTGGCTCACGCCTGTAACCCCAGCACTTTCGGAGGCCATGGTGGGCGGATCACCTGACGTCAAGAGTTCGAGACCAGCCTGGCCAACATGGTGAAACTCCATCTCTACTAAAAATACAAAAATTAGCCAGGTGTAGTGGTGCCCCCCTTCAGTCCCAGCTACTTGGGAGGCTGAGGCAGGAGAATCGCTTGAACCTAGGTGGAGGTTGCAGTGTGCCAAGATCATGCCACTACACTGCAGCCTGGGCAACAGAGGGAGACTGTCTCAAAAAATAATAATTTCCCATAATCAAAATTTAAGCCACATGTGGCTCCTGCCTTATGGAACAACTCCAGAGACCGCCGTCAACCAGTTGTCAACTGGAGGCCCGAGGGCCCAAAAGGCCTCACAGTTATATTTGGTTTGGAACACAAGGTACTTTTTAAACATTTCACTGGGCGGTATGTCTATTTTTTGAGACAGAGTCTGACTCTGTCACCCACGCTGGAGTGCAGTGGCATGCTTCTGGCTCACTGCACCCTCAACCTCCCAGGTGCAAATGATCCTTTTCCACTTCAGTCTCCTAAGCAGCTGGGACTACAGGCGTGGGCCACCACACATTTTGAGCCAGACCACTCTTTGTTGTGGGGGACCATCCTGTGCACTGTAGGGTGTTGAGCAGCATCATTGGCCTCCACCCACCAGATGCCAGTAGCACCCTTCCCCAACCCCAGTCGTGACACCCCAAAATGTCTCTAGACATTGCCCGTGTCCCCTAGGGGGCAACATTGCTCCTGGTTGAGAACCCCTGGTCAACTTGGACAATTACCCAACCTGAGTCTCTTGCCCAGATCCCTGATAAAATGTTTGTCCCCTCCAATTTTTTTTTTTTTTTTTTTTTTTTTTTTGAGATGGAGTCTTGCTCTGTCGCCCAGGCTAAAGTGCAGTGGCACAATTCTAGGCTCACTGCAACCTCCAACTCCCGGGCTCAGTCGATTCTTCTGCCTCAGCCTCCCAAATAGCTGAGATTACAGGCATGCACTACCACTCCCGGCTAATTTTATATTTTTGGTAGAGACGAGGTTTCACCATATTGGCCACCTGGTCTCCAACTCCTGACCTCAGGTGATCCACCTGCCTCGGCCTCCCAAAGTGCTGGGACTACAGGGTAGAGCCACCACACCTGGCCTCCTCCAAATCTCATGTTGAAATGTAATCCCCAGTGTTGGAGATGGGGCTTGGTGGGAGGCATTTGGATCATGGAGGTGGTTCCTTCATGAATGGCTTGGTGCCATCCTTGAGGTAATGACTGAGATCTCGCTGAGTTCACGAGATCTAGTTGTTTAAAAGAGCATGTCAGGCCGGACGTAGTGGCTCACACCTGTAATCCCAACACTTTGAGAGGGTGAGGCAGGCGGATCATGAGGTCAAGAGATCGAGACCATCCTGGCCAACATGGTGTAACCCCATCTCTACTAAAAATACAAAAACTAGCTGGGTGTGGTGGCGGGCGCCTGTAGTCCCAGCTACTCGGGAGGCTGAGGCAGGAGAATCACTTGAACCTGGGATGCAGAAGTTGCAGTGAACCAAGATTGTACCACTGCACACCACCCTGGCAACAGAGCAAGACTCCATCTCAAAAAAAAAAACAAAAAACAAAAGCGTGTCACCTCTCACCAGTCTTTCCCCCCCACCATATGCCAACCACCCCTTTACCTTCCACCATGATTGTAAGCTTCCTGAAGCCCTCGCCAGAAACAGCTGCCAGGACCACACATCCTGTACAGCCTGCAGAACCATGAGCCAATTAAACCTCTTTTCTTTGTAAATTACCCAGCCTCAAGTATTCACTCATAGAGACGCAATGAAACTAACACAATCCCTCTCTTGAGTTTCAGACCATATAACTATTGGCATTATAGTGGCCACAACCCCCACCCTCACTGCTGTCCCCGGAAATAATGACAACAATAACCACCATTTATTGAGCCCTCACTCGGGAACAGCCATTGCTAAATGCACAGCATCCTCAGGGCAGAGCTACAAGGAAAGTACCATGAGGATCCCTGTTTTACAGATGAGGGAAGCAGAGCTCAAAGAGATTGTGTGATTGGCCTGAGGTCACATATCCTCAAGCGGGATGGCCAGGACAGCACCTGCCTCTGCCCGCACTGGGTCAGTGCATGTGACCCTGTCAGCAAGCCACACATTTCCCTGTAATCCCACCGTCGCCGCTGCCACCCCAGCGCCAACCACCACCAATTACCCCCAGCTTATAGCAGTAGCAGCCTTCCCTCCATCACTCTCCCTCCCCTCTCGTTTTTTTGTTGCTGTTTCTTTTTTCAGACAGAGTCTCGCTCTGTCACCCAGGCTGGAGTGCAGTGGTGGGATCTTGGCTCACTGCAGCCTCCACCTCCCAGGTTCAAGCAATTCTCCCACCTCAGCCTCCTGAGTAGCTGGGATTACAGGCGTGCACCACCACAGCCAGCTACTTTTTTGTAATTTTAGAAGAGACAGGGTTTCACCGTGTTGCCCAGACTGGTCTCGAACTCCTGGCCTCAAGCATCCACCTGCCTCAGTCTCCCAAAGTCCTGGGATTATAGGCGTAAGCCATCATGCCTGGCCTTCTCCCTCCCTTCCCTGTGGCAATTTCCAAGTGATTTTTTAAGCTCATAGAATCATTCCCTGACTTAAAACCTTCCCTTCTGAGACTGAGCAACATATTGAGACCCTGTCTCTCCAAAAAAGTAATAATAATTAGGCAGAAGTGGTGGTGCCTGCCTACAGTCCCAACTACCCAGGAAGCTGAGACAGGAGGACTGCCTGAGCCCAGGAGTTACAGAACGCAGTGCATTATGATCTAAACCTTCCCTTCTGCCCTTAGAGTAAACCCAGACACTGCAAGGCCCTGCACAGACTGTGCCCGCGGCTGCCTTCTCTTCTGGGCATCATGGTGCTGCCTCTCCCTTGCCTGATGCACCGGCCTCTCCCATCTGGAACGCCTTTGTGCTTGCTCTTCCCCTCTCTGTGATGTTCCTTTCAGCTCCTCACAAGAATGGCTCCTTCCTGGCCTTCAGGTTTCAGCTCACAGAACACCTGGTCACAGCAGCCTTTAGTGACCGTGTTAGCTCGAGGTGCCCTGCTCAGTGTCCTCCGTCTGTTCGTTTCTTTCACATCCCACAGCACGATCCATGATGGCCTCGTCAATCTACTGCCTGCTGTGTGACTGCCTGCCTTCCCCACTCTCCAAGGCCCAGCTCCATCCTGGTCAATATTCTACCCTCAGAATCTATCAAAGGTCTCAGGAAAGGGTAGGGAATCAATTCGATATTGGTTGAATGAATGAATGAATTTGATCGCCCCGTCCAAAAGTCAAGCATTACCTCCCTACCCAGCTCCCCAACAAAGAGAACCCTTGCTCACCCCCAAGACATGATCATCGGGAAGCCACACCATCTAGACAAAATTCTTGTCCCGCCATCTAGAACTTTGAACGTCCCCATTTCCTCCCACTCCCTCACTCCCCAAAGTCAGACAAGCACCAAGTTCCATCACCTCCACCCCCTGAGGGCACTCCCCTCCGTTCTCCAAGAGCTGGGCAATGCCCTCCATTCTCCAGATGAAGTTCTGGCCCCTTCCTT